TAACGCGAACAACAGTTATGTGTATCATATTGAATCTATAGGATTTATTAAAAAAATGGGAGACTGACTGCATAATCTGAGTGAAGAGCACGGTGAGAACTGGCTATCATTGTCTCTAAACATCTAACTCGACATGTGGCAACACGTATTTTACATTTTTGACATTTCAAGTTTCTAAACAAATTGTTGTTGGTGACAAGGAGAAGAGTGAGAAGTACTTTTGCTTAACCATATACCTCAGGTCTTGGCCTGACATATTGCCACATTTTCGATCACTGAAGAATGAAATTCGGATCATTTGACAATGGGTAGAGTCTCAAAAAGTGGCCGGATAAGTTCTTCGGTATCAAGCCCGAGAATTTCGACCTAAATTAAATGCATAAGTCAGTTAAAAACTGAAAGACGGTCGTAGGTAGTTATGGCGAATACGTAATATATAGATTTATTGCTAGAACTGAGCGTAACGCTGCTTTCTTTGTGAAAAAAGTACGTTTTTATCTATGTATCGATTAATATATGCACTCACACATATATATATATATATATATATATACATATATATGTATTGTCGGTAACTGGCTTTGTTGTTCACAGAGTAATATTAGCGTCGAAGCCCACGCCGAACAAAACCTGTGGAAGCGAAAGAACCATCAGAACCTTGGCCTCTTGGCCAGTTATACGTCTGTTCGATTCCTCCACAATTGCAGAAGGTATTAGGCTAGCCGGCAATGCGGGACCCATCAACCATATGGCCGACAGAAGCAGCCCACACCCGTTGTAATCGTTAGTACCAATAACGGCGTCATTTCGTACTCTACGTGGTCATCAGCGCCGAAGCTGGAGACGAAAGGGGGAAGCTCGACAGCTGAGAACAAGTAGCTTCGGAAAAGACCTGACACAGGAGGAGGAGAGAAGTAAGACGAATGACACATCGGCAGCAAGGAAAGGTAAACACTCATAAGCCTGGGAAGCGCTGGGGTCGTACTACGGCGATGGATGGAATCACGAGGGTACCAAAACCGTTGAAGGACTGTAGCGATAAAGCGCCGTTGCAAGCCTATCGGTAAGCATCACAGCGAAGTAGTGATCGACAGCACTGCATTGAGGTATCTGAATGCCAAGGCGAAGTTGACTTTTTGGTTCCGTACCTCATAGTGATACGACTTTGAGGCTGCCCAGAGGTAGACCAATACAGGCGCTTTGTCCCGGTTGCTGTCCATGCCATTGGTGCACTACGGCGTATTCGAACTGGGCAATACACAAAGGGCAACCCAACTATACACAGTCATCTCAGGGTTGGAATGGGGAAAGCGTGTCCCACTTTACGTGCTTAAGGATGGCTTTGCGTACAAAGTCGAGCAAGGAAGGACACTGCTTCACGGCGTTGCGTCCCGTATAAAAGAAATGATCGCGTTTCGTCACTCGTGAAGGAGTGCTTTTTCATCGAGTCTGGAAAATAGTGCCGGACTCAAGTGCTGTCAAAAGCAAAACCGGAATCCAGCGCGAAATGATGCGCTTGATCAGGTACTCTCAATGAAATGTGTCAAGATAAGACGGGCATGGATTTGAAAGCCTCTGAGAGCCTAGACCAAGTAAGGATTTCTATGTTTCGAGTAAGGTAGACTATAGTAATATAGTCCCCGTGATAGCTTAGTAATGTCTTTGCTTAGGGACACGTTGAGGTTTAGATTCGTACCCAGGCAAAGATATACTTAATTTCATGTTGGGAGCCAGCTATCTGATAGAATGCCTAACGGCGATGCCGGACATAAAACACTAAATATAGGCACTATAGAACTACTGCGTTCAGCTTCTGCCGGGTAGGAAACCCTGGTGCTGAAATTCGGGTGGCAAAAGCTATATAGTGTTTCTTCGAAGGTTTTGAAGCAACTAAGGTAAAAAGTGCAACCTGTTTTCGCGTACTATTCTATGAGTTCTTCGAAGAAAAAGCGCAGAGAGCCTTCATGCATTAGAATTGCACTGTTGAATAAACGGCGGAGCATGAAAGCATTGCTAGAGTAAGGTAAGTATGTCTCACTGGGGTTAGAGAACGGCGTGAAGGCGCTAAGAAGGGTAAATATGACCTCTGGAGGATGTCAGATGATCATAAATTTAAGACATATACAACCATATATCGGGAAACTTACTCCGGTAACTCAGGTAACCAATGACCAAATGTGAAGATGTGACCTGCGAGTGTTAATAATATTACAGTTCCTAAGTGAATATAGCCCAGATCATTGAATAAGGGGCTGCGGGGCAACAAATACAATACCACACAAAGTTCAACTAACGTACCACCGAAAGACACATCTTAAAGACGTCCTTTGTATATTTTGAAAAGCGTATGTGTTGTTGGTAAAAAAACATCCATACATAAATGTAAGATGTCCATTTGGGTGTAATTAAAAATAACTTAATTTCAACTATTTAGTTTTACTTCATAGCGGGAGCACTTTGAGAATCTAGTGACTGACGTAAGCGGCAACCTTAGCTCTATCCGCAATGTTGTTTCGAAATTTCATCTGTTTATCGAATGTAACTTCTAAATGTCTGTGGACCGCTACTTCTTTTTTAGCCTGCTGATTTGAGTAGCCTACCTTGTAGTAAATAGTTATTAGGACATTACATTTAGCGACCTATATCTCCATACAGTTTGCTGTATACCTACAGGAAATGCAGTTAGCGCTTTTCTAATTACCAATGAGTTTTTGCTATTCGAAATCGCTTAACTATCTAAAGCGTTACGGTGTGATCTGCGAGACAGGACTACTAAAGAACAACTAGCCAAGGAATAATCTTAAGAGGTGCCATTATTGCAACAAAAAATGTGACGCTCCACACTATCAAGCTCGACCGAGAAACTGAAATACATAACAAACAGACGCACCATCAGCAGACCGAGTTTTTCAATTCATCAGTCGTTGGCGCTCAGCACTCACATGCAATAGCCGAACGCAAGGGCCTAGTTGGTAACGCGATGTGTATACTGCGTCACCCTAATACTAGAGTGCGCTGAGAGATAAAGGTGTTTTTCATATAAAATTTCCTTGAGCTTTTGTCTCACCTGATACGATAATGGCAGCGATCATAACTACCTAACGAGTACCTACCAATTCTTAGGCATGAAATAACGCTTATATTGTAATGTCCGCGGCCGTAACCGTCGGAACAACTGATCTCACTAATGCGAAGAATTTGGTATTTAACAACCGAAGAAGATAAACACGGCATCTAGTAGTACTTCGCACAGGGTCCGTCGATCCGCAATGTTAGCTTGTTCGTTAAGAGCCTCTATGGAGAATTGAGGTGGGCCCAGTTATGCCGTGGGCCTCTCCTGGGTGACTAATAATACCTCACAATTAATATTCGAAGTGATTCAGTATAAAGAAAGAGAGGTTGAGAATCAATCGCGGCTTAAAAGTATTTACCCACCACCCGCAGTTATGCTATATTTGAAACTGTTAACTAAGTTTCAAATGACAATAATTACTGTGGTTTTCGGACAAGTTTAGGTGCATTTAGTCAGGAACAATGAAAAGTTTTCAAAAACTTCAATTTTTTTGATTGAGAACATATATCTACTGATACATTTATATACTTACTTGTCATTGGTTAGTGCGAGGGTTACCTAAAATGCGGGATTAACCACTTTCGGGATAGCCCTCTCTATATGCCTTGCAGCGACGGCGCGATAAGCTAACGTTTCGGAAAGATTGAATTGCTTTCCAAGCGCTTCGAGAAATATCGAGGCTATCGCGATCAGATACATTAAGAGATTGCGTAGTACAGTTCTAGCATCAACCAGTGTACTCATAGCATTATTCTAGGGCTCTTAGTGGTCGCAGTGGACTGTAGTAAACTTTTTGCCTATTCGTATAGCATTTTATAATACTCAGGCAAGAGGTAATCAGCAAAAAGAGCAAATTAAGATATTGGAAGTATTCGTTAATAGGGTGTCACGTTCATTCTTGTTCATCCAGTACTTTCAGAGGCATTGGCATATTTATGTCATATTCATTGGGCTCATGGTACGTAATTATACAGCACGATGTGCAAGCAGATAGAACGGCGGCAGGGGAACGTCCTGCAAGGTTTCCATTGTCGCCATTAGAAGTATGCTAATTCATAGCGTGTCTAATATGTATATATATATATATATATACGTTTTATTATGATAAACGTTGTAAATATAACATCTTACTATTCAGTCCTAATGATTAATAAAACTATTACTTTCTTAATTGAAATTCAATCGACCGTCATAGGGCGCAGTTGTAACACCTGCACCCCAAGGCAAAAGGCCGTCGTTATCACGTAACTTAAAGTATTGTAGTGGCACCAACGGCCACGCTACCGCCCTATGGTCTGATTTCGATCCTCTACACTACTTTGGCCTTTAGTCATACTACCGTCGCCTCTCAACGGGCCTTGTCCCAAGAGGGGGTACCAACTAATCGGCACCCACATTGTGCCCCTTCGTGTATTCTTCTCTTTTTCCCTTGTTTTCCCTTTCCCATCTCGTTCTCTCTTTCTTTTCTAATTTTCCCGGATCCTTGCTCCTCTTCCAACCACGTTTTTCTATTTTTCTACATAAACTGCTCTCACTCGTTTTTTTCCGCTCATCGTTTTGCCCCTCGTCCCTCTCTCTCTTCCATTTCCTTCCCCCAATGGCGGATTGTCGGTCTGTCGCTAGAGTCTGCGGTGGTGGGAAAGGGCCGTTAGTGTTGAGGATTGTGATACCGTCCGTCGTCTTTCGCTTACGGTGGCAACGGCGGCGTGGGCAAGCGCTGCCGTAGTTCTGGTGGTAGTGTGAGGTGGGCGAGAGTTGTGACGGCCGAGAAGGGGGGAGAGCGGTGGCTACAGCAGCTGCGCTGGGGTCATTGACCTGTGTACGAACGGGGCCGGCGACAGCGGCTTTGGCGGTTACGGCGACTTACGGCAGCAACCAGCAGTGATGTGATGCCAGCGTCGGTCGGTCGTGGCGGTCCCGACGGCAACTCAATCTGACGACAGCAAAGCAACTGCAGCGACGAGGACGGCCACAGCAGAAACAACAACGACGACGACGACGGCCACAGCATAAACAACAACGACGACGACGCTAGCGACGATAAAGGACACGGCAATAACAACAACAGAAGTATCAGCACCAGTGACTGCTGGCGTAGTAGTAGCGGCAATGGAACGCATGGAGTAGGCAGCGAGGAGTCAACGAAAGCGGTCGGTGGCCGGATGATGTTAGTCGCTTGCCTGTCCCTCACGCCTAAGTCACATTGCAGCGGCAGCGCGACTGGCAGAAACAGCAACAAGCAAAGCAGAAGCAGCAGCGGCCGGGGACTAAGCGACCACGATCAAGCGAGTGCTTGAAAGCGGCAGCGACGGTGGCGGCGGCAGGAACAGCGACAACAATAACAACCGCAACGACGACGACGTAGAGCGGAACGACGATCGCAGTCAGTCGAGTCCGGTACTCCAGCCGAACAGCAACCAGAAAAAGGAGAAGACGGACGAATGTAGTATCAAATCTCAAGGATAGCAGACGGCGGCAGCAACAGCTATTGCAGATGTCGCTGACGAATTGAGCAAAAGAAAACGAAAACGTGCAACCCAGAGTTCTAGGCAAAAACGCTAGCTCGTGCGATGATCCTTGGTTGACGTCGTTGGCCACCGCCCTTCCTACAGCCAAACGTAACAGCGCTTAACCTTTTTGCAGAATGTAAAAAGGTCGGAGTAAGAACACATTACATTTATCGGGACAAGAGGACACAGGCCTGATTTAGGCAAGAGGAAAGTAGACCGGAAATTGATAGCCGACGTAAAACACGTTCCCAGTCACCGGCATCCTTCGAGAGAGAAGTTGCGGAACTGAGGCTTCAGGAAGGAGGCGGCCTCTTCTCTCGTCGATGTAGATAAGCCGAACAGAAGGGCCTTCGCAATAAGGGTGAGCGCAAGAAACGGATTGGACCGGAGTAAATCGTCGGTACTCAGCATCACTCAGATTTCGTGAAATATCATTTGAGGAGCTGGCAGTAGTGCGCTTATGTTATTGCCGTTGTTATTGTTGTTGTTGTTGCAGCTAATTTGAATCCAGCTGGCGACCAGTTTAGGGGAAAGCAACTTCGCCAGCCAGCTGCTACAGTTCAGCTACTAATCTGCTTATCGGTTTACCAGTAATCATAATAACGATAGCAAGTCTCTTTAGTAACTGCGTTGGCTGGAAATAGCGTATGTACGTTAAGGAGAACGTTGATTTGCCTGCTCACGGCCGCCAGACTATACATAAGTAAAACAAAAAGGAAGTTAAAAAATTTGTGCGTTCGCCAAGTTATAAAAATTGAAAGTCTCCGATCGAGTTGCTCGTTGAAGGACTCACTCGTGGTACTCGAGCTGGGCACTAAATTGTTGTTAATTTTGTTGTTGTTGAAGAAGTGACTCTTGACAACTGATTGCCTGATTGATTCTTTACCTAACCGATTAATTGATTAACTCAGGGAACAGCATCTGTGATTTGCAGTGTCCATAAGAAGCAGCCGATTTGCTTGTACTAATGTACTAAAATCGTGTAGAGTAACAGGAAGTGATGTGAGGAAAAAGCGTGTGTCAAAAGTGTTGCCCAGCAAACAAGACAGACGAAAATAAGTGGGAGGCAACGGACGCGCGCATAACTGAGCGGCAACAGCCATCACACCTATGTTAAATTGTGTAGAAAAAGGCTGTTTGTAATTCTGGGCTATAGAAAAGCAGCTTCGCGGTGTCACTGGCTAAACGTTACTGTGCATTGGAATACTGCGGCGATCCCCGCGAGACCCCGTACTAACGGCAGGCAGTATAGGCGGAGTTCATTGACCCGAGCTGGAGGAAGCACTGGGAAAACGCGCTGGGATTCGCTGTCAGCGGACATCGCCAGCTAACGTCTGGAAGACTCGAGAAAAACCACAGGTCCAGAAGACGATTCAAAAAGATCTCACGAAGGTTACTGATAACAGCAAACATTCATCTGGCCACTTATTTGTCGGACTTGTAACCAGCAGGAGAGTGCCTGTTGAAACCAAGTGTGATCCAACTTGACCACGCGGGGTATTTACGTGATGGTCATCATCTGTTAACATTCTATTCTGAGTTTCGAAGTTGTCATTTTTCAGCCGCTGTTATGGAAAACGACTTGCAGCTCTGCTATTGTCATTCAAAGCTGGAGGTAGCTGGCTGAAACGAAAAGGTGAATTAGTGAGTTCTCATCTTGGCTCACACTTTGATGGCAAGCCGTCCGTGTAGGAAGTGGGTTGATTGGTTCACGTAGGCACGTTGTTTGCTGGTTGAGTGCACACGTGGGTGTTATCCGCTGTTTTAGGTGGACGAAGAAGAGGCGCATAATCTGCAATCAGCAATCAAACACACCGAAAATTCTAGAGGAGTCTGGAATGTTACAGTGTTGGGTAATGATATCTCCACAGAAGCGGTGTTCTCCAGCCTCGCGTCATTCCTGAGATACGTAGGTCACTTGCACATGCAATTACTACAGGCTGAACCGTATATATGTAGTGGCAACGTACCAAGAGATAAGCGTCATCGCATCTGTTTCATGCGTTTCCGCACCGTTGTCGTTTGAACGTGCAAAAAATCGTTCATTGGATAGTTGATCATCGATCGACGCCGTTTCATACAACATACCTCGAGCGTCATTATCATTACCGTCACCAACAATATCTTCATTGCTCTCATGCGCCGTCTCCCCCCCCCGGCCTCTAGCTTTTTTATGGCTGCTATTATCGGGTGAATGACAGAGGAGAAGTTGGTCGTCTTAAGAGAGAACCTGTCAAGTCGACACCTTATGTGCGCGCGTAGTTGTCCGCCGTAGATGCTTTCGCTGAACTCGTACTATCGTGCAAACACCACGCATACGTTAGTGAATATAATTATAATCACCATAATACGAATACAACTGTACAGTTATCACTGCAGTACTATTGCAACCTTTACCCGACGTCATATGCTGCTCGTCTACGCCGCGCGATACGAAAAAGAAGAACTTACTTATACACTCATTAGCAATCAAGCAAGCTTACTCAATTGATCAAACTATCTACCGAGAGGCGATGCTTAGTATATAGCGCACAGCTATCCAGTCAGTAGAAAGCAAGCAACATTACTAATTATTATTATTACTAATGCTACAATTATATTGGTAAAAGGAACACTTCTACGAGCAATACTACGAGTGTTGTGCTGCAGTTGTTGTGTGTCCGTAAAGTCCCTTTGGCAGAAGCAAATAAAAAAAAAATTAGCAATCAACAAACAAACGCAAAAGAAGGACTGGGTTGGGACACGCACATCTTCACATCCCGTCTCACCTCAGTTCAGCCGAAGTCGAAGTCCCCATAGATGCATAAGTGGAGCCCAACAAACACAAGGAAAAAAACAACATAGTCAGACGAAGTGACTAAACTTACCATTTTGGTAAAAGGACGCAGAGAAATAGAATTTTGCATTCATCATACAATCCAGGGTACAACGTTAAGCGCCACCTATTGTTGCCCTTAATTGCAAATTGTTAAGTTTTGGTAAGTGTAAGAATACAGGTTCTTAGGACAGACAGAGTCGCGTACGAGATATTAATATTGGTGTTGTGATGTTACACGGAATAAGCTCGCAGCTTCACATTTACTTGTGTAACCTAATTAACGATTAAATACGTTTCTCGGCCTGAATTGGAGCGAGTAGATTGGAAGCTCCCATATTCGGGTTTTCAAGCGAGCTTCTTAAATATGTTACGTGCTCCTATTAATGAGTTTGAAGTTTTTATGCAGGGATTGGACTAGCTTAGATCAATTATATCGTCCGCCGGCACATCGAATGTCGGCACAGCTTTCTTGAAACCTGCGTCGATGACACAGAAAATAATGTCATTGATACGTAAAGTGCGAAGAGTTTATGGCACACCCCCTTCAACTCCTTTTCATTTCACCCACTTAAGTAATTATTAGCATGTGAAACAAACGGGTACAGTAAGTATCTATGTTCAGTATATATATGCTCTATAAAAAGACTTATTCCCAGCTGTATATCATATATATAAACTGCGTGTGTATTTAGGGGTTTTCTGTTTTACGTAGTGATAACAGATAGAGTATTCCTTAAAATGTCCATTAGGCAGTTTTCTGCGGTACTGCTTGTCGTTAGTGTAATTAGTTGGTAATTAAAAGAATAGAAGTTAAATATCATTACTATACATCATCTATCATCATATCATAAATATCTATGATACATCAAAACGACTGCACACAACGGCGACGCCCATATTGTGTCTCGTTTGTCCAAGGTAATTATAATTACTTGAAAATTCCTTATTTTTTTACACTTTCATCGTATGCGCACATTATGACTTGCCACGATATTCAGAAAAATGAAACTTTACGAAGGACGCAATTGAATACGTATCTATAATAATATGCTATGCCTTCTTTATTAGGTTGCGCGTGTTTGCTAGTTGCGATAGCAGAATTCTATTCCACTGCTGGTAATTAGTGGTTACCACGAAGGCTTCTGGTTGCAGCTGCTTCTTTTGCTCACTCGACGTTGCCGTTGGTTACTGGACGCAGGCGAAAGCAGCATCGGCGTCGTCGCGTCAGTTGACGGCCATTGAACTTGTCGCGTAACGCTTCCAAAAAAAGTCCCCGGTAAATACATATCCAGACAAGTGAAAGAGCCAATCAAGCACAACTACAGTAACGAAGATGCAAAGACAGGATGTTGGCCCATAGAACCGCAGGAGCTGCTGCTGCTACTGTAGAAACGAACAGTGGAAAGGCCTTCATCTTCCCGATGGGTTTTCATGTCGTTGTCTCGTGAAAGACACCGGCGACGGCGGCTCCAAATAGTGACAGAATACGAAAAGACAGAAAACGGGATATTGCGGTTTAGTTGCGGCAGCAGTTACTGATCTCTAAGCCAACGCAGCTGTGAGCGTTACTTCGGCTGACGTTTCGTGCCATTTTTATGGATTGTTGTTGACGCCGAGCAATCTCGGCTTCTAGTGCTAATACTGTTCAACAGCCCTGCCTCTTAGGGTCTGTTATCTGCAAATGGGAGTTGTTACCGCTGTCGATTCTATTCTTCGAGCGTATCGCTGTGGCTTAGTGGTAAGCTGCCTTGCGCTGATCATGACGAACGCTTTCTGCTGGACGCCGTTACCACTCCGGGCCGTTGAACGCTACCGGCGCCGGCTTCGGTGGAATCAGTAGTGTGACGACGGCGGTGAATGAGCGCCAGCAATAAGAGCAGTGCAGATTTCGTAGACAGGCGACAACGAAGGAACAATGACCCATCACTTCTACTCTGCTATGACCGTCATCGCTTGCAGTTGCCGTAAGCAGCAGCGTCACGGCGCGGATAAGCGCCAGCGCAAAGTGTGCTGTTATTCTGGCTAGAGCAGCACGAGCAGAAGGAGGAGTAGCACTAGAACGAGTCTTTGCTGCTTCCCGGCGTCGCGTTGTTCCGTTGCCAGGGCTGCCGCCGTTTTGTGCACGGACGTCAGCGATCTTTGGGTTGGATAAAGAAGTCGGAGGCGCAGAAGTCAGAACAGGCAGAGTGATGGTAATGCTGACACTAACAACAACGACGCCAGCAGCAGCACGGCATAGCAAAAGACCAGAACAAGAAAAAGATATTAGGAAGACGTGCAACGGTGATAGCGATGATAGCGGAAAACCGTGTTGTCTTTCTCTGAGGAGGCTGTAGTGGAATTATTTTGCTAGTTCGCAAATGGAATAGTGGCTTTGTAGTAATAGTACTTGTTGTCGTAAGGATGAACCATCTTGCATAGATCCTAGCAGCGACTATGACGATGGTGACAGTGTTGATGGTCTGGATTATGATGGGTCGATGGTAGGGTGATACTAGCATGCCGCTGTTACTTAAAAGAAGGAAAACATAGGACGTTCACCCACCGGACACCCTGACAGAACCCACAAAAACAATAGAGAATAATGGTTAAGTCGCGCGTCCCCAACGATCAGTGTAGCGAACCAGAGGAAAAAGGATGAGGAGGAGGTCAATTCTGACGCGAATTGGGCCAATGATATACAAGATCCGAGTGGCGGTTTAAGTTGGTGCGTCATCCAGTCTCTCGTGTCCTTTATTCGTTATTGCTGAAGTGCTCGCGCTTCTCTTCGCCTTCCAATAGGCCTCGAACGTTAAATCCATCTGCAAAGAGATGAGTTCGAAGCCTACGTTTTCTGCAGCCGAAAAAGACGAAGCAACAACACGAAAATGGTGTACGTTTGTTTCGTTACGTTGCTTATTATACTTACCGCATTGTGAAACTGGGCAACACGCCGAGCACTTTTAGTCGACTCGCTTAGTCCTACCTAGTAAGGATTCGAAAAGCGTACGGGTGAGCGGAAGGGGATACTGTGTGAGGGGTCGTGTTCGCATACTGGTTGGGGATCTGGGCGGTGGCAAGGTTATTGGCCCTTCAGCGATAGGAGGGAAAGGGCGTCCACGAGAGACACTGAGCTCTCAGTATGGCCCGCTATAGTATTTGCTGTGTAACAAAATTCTAGTATAAAACACAAGCGTACAGCAGTGGGCTGCTGGCAGCCAAAGGCTCAGTGCGTGCGTACTAGCGTCTGATAACGCTTGTTATTGATGTGGCCTCAGAACGACGATAACGACACAGCGCAGCGGCATCGGCATCATCGGACAAACGGCCTCTGACGGCACCACCATTGGCAACTTTACTAGAAGCGCCATAGCCTTGCTGCCTGCCCGCCGCTTCTCACACGCCAAAGTTGAGGTTTTAGCAGAGGAGAACCAACCTAGCTCACGGCTTTATCATGTCTCCCTTTAGCTAGGTGGTGGCTGTATTTGTTCATTGCCCTTGCCACTTTTCTGCTGCAAGTTAACTATAAATAGCAACTCCACTCTATGATCAATCTTGCGTCTTTTTCTTCTGCTGCGTCCAGCACTGCTATCCTTCTGAGGGTAGTGGTGAGTGTCAAGAGGAAGGGAACGTTATATACACTGTGTTGTTGCTGTTATAGGTTTGTGTGGGTATGTTCGACTATGGCGGAGAGAGCAGCGAGAATGGAAGGAAGGAGCAGATAGGTGGCCAGTGAGGAAGGGTTCGAGTATGAGGCCTTGCGTGTGAGTAGCAACAACAGCATTGCTGGAGGCCGCTTCAAGAAGCAGGCACGTCTGTCTGTTAGGGGAGGGGTAGAGTTAGAGGAGGAGGCAATGGGGGCATGGGACAACTGAGGAACAGTTGGTGAATGGCCGTGCCGCCGATTAAGTGGATGGGCGGGTGGTTGCAGCGCCCTCCGTCACGGAGGACGTTGCCCTCGGTAGCGGTGGAACTGCGACGTGTGCTCCACCGCTTCACTAACGGATCGTCCCGACGGACAAACGCAGGGACGAACAAACTGACGCTACTAGTCGCTAGTCGGAAGTCGGGACACACCCTTTTCCGCGTAGGGGAAACACGCAAGGAAAACGGCATAACCAATGTGAACGACACTGCATATAGCGTATCGTGGCTATAGTAATAGAAGCTTGAGGCAAAGCTTTTACAAAGACCTTCACGATAAGGAGGATGAGATGAGTAAAGAGACAGCACCTCCTAACAGAAGGGGCAATACCGAGTACATCGTCAAATGGGCGGCCAAAGACGACCTGTTGAATTGTCAATGCTTCATTTTTCACTTCTTGAACAGTGAGTTCGCATTGAAAGGAGGATCGCAATTTTTACGTGCAACTCGAGAATTAATATTGTCCTATAATTTCTTAATTCATACTATTATCTATCGTATATTAAGTAACTCAGAAGTACGTTGTAGTTCATATCGAAAATGATACGTATTAAGCCGAGAACAAGACACCTTGTATCTATAAAGCGCCGATGCCTTTAAGAAGTAGCACTACTATTCGTCTAGGAAAAAGGTACTGCTCAATGTGTTGTTGTCATATATGAATTTTTTGAAAAACAGTACGTTTATGCAGCAGGCCACAGGAAGGGGTATGCCAGCGTGACATTCCTGACAAGAGTTTAGCGTCCTTCGACGGCGAGATGCGCGCCAATTGGGAGCTGCAAAGAACGGAGCACCCGGAAATAGATAGCTGTATATAGCCTCGTCAGCTTTGTTCCTTTGCTAAATCCCCCTCCTCTACTTTTGACCGATTTGCTGCAGTTGCTTTTTGCGACACTGATGATGCAATCTGCATGTCCATCGACTTTTACCTTAATTTCGTAGATACACATCCAATATCAGTAGGCAACATTTTATTATGTTGCCTACTGATTGTGATTGAAAGTGGTTAATTCAAACCACTGACGAAAGACAAATCGTTAATTTTTACGTAAACGACGCTATCATTTTATGTGCTTTATTTACTTGCTTTAGCGTTGAAAAGTTAATTTAAAAATACGGAGCCCGTTAAGGTGTACGTTTCGTTATATTATATAAAGAACATAAGTATTTTCGCTTCGTTTTTTGTGTTCCCTTTTTTACCTCTCTTTTACTTCCTTCCCTCTGTGTTCGCTACAATCTAGTCCTATAATAAACGG